CTGTTTTGACCATTAAATAAACGCATAATAAATGTGACGGGTCAGTGGTGACGCATAATAAATGCAACTTGTAAGCCGAAGCGACTTATATAAGTTTTGTTCCTCTTCATGATAATTTTTTTGACTCATTCGATATACTCCGAAGCGACTTATGTGCCAGAAAATACGGTATGTAAAGTTTACTTTTCTCACAGATTTTGTGTTGTCTTTTTATCTATTTATTGCTCAAGTAAGAAAGATGGAGAGATTATGTCAAAACGCCCACTGATCAATGTAGCTGCATTCAATATACAATAGTTGAGCCTTTCTCTTGGATTTTAGTTAACTGAATCATTGTAAATATTGTAATTAAAGTAAGATTCTTCTTCTGAGCAGCAGTACTGAGACAAATCCCAGGCGAATATTTGTGCACTGTTCAGTGTAGATACCGTAATAATTTCCTTGAAAAGCCCACACGTTTCCCAGGGGGTTGAGTTCAGTCAGAGCTCTGGTATTTGGGAGCCTTATTAGTAGGGTTTTTAGTCTTTGGGCACTGGACATGAATGAGATTGACCTCCGCTGAGAAACGAGCACGTGCAGGATCAAATAGAGTGCACATCTCTGTGAGAACTATAAACTCATGTCCTTCTCTTCCCTTGGTGCATTGTTGCTTTTGGGTTGGTAATATGTGCACGCTTAGGGTTTTGTCCGTCAGTCCTGGGGTCAGCGGACTGACGTCATGCCCCCTCTCTGAGACATCAGAAGTTCATTACAGGCCTTGCTTTGGCAAATCAAATCCTGACATTTGAAGTGAATCACGGCAATGGAAACATTAAAAGGTCTGCCAATAGAAACAAATGCTTTTTTTGTATGTTTTGTTTATGAAGTAATAGTTATTTCTGAAGCAGACTTTGAAGTTCTTTTTGTCTCGTTTATTAGAAGCAGACTTATTTGCTGGTGCACAGTGTCTCCCTCAAACCTACTGAAGAAAACACTTATTGGGAGGAAAGTATTATTTTAATGATATACCTCACAACTTTGGAGATGTGTGTCATTTAAATGTCTGTGCATACTCAGTATATTTCTTCCTGTGTGGTTTCTATGACCATTTTTGTTGCCTTTTTGTTTTCAGAGATGTATGTGGGTCATATTTTTCACATTTTAAAAGGGCAATAAATGCTGTAGCTGTCTGATTTGGAAATTAGCACCAGCTTTACTGTCACTCTGAGTCATGCCTCATCTCGTTTCCTCACCTGGCAAGTAGAGCCGGCACATTCTGTTCCTTCTTACCTGCCTCTGCAGACGAGTTTACGCTCACAACTCTTCACTTTGTTGATCTAGTCTCTGCGTAATTGTTATGTGGGCTGAGCATTGCAACATTGCTAGGATTTTTTTTTTTTCGTTGATGAATGGTTTGTCAAATTAAGAGGAGCTGATAGTAAAACACAGATAGGGAAGCCTTGCTGAAAAGTGCACAGAACAACTACAGCTGCTTTTTCTGATATTTTACCACGACGTTGAGATGGATATAATACGGTGAGTTGTCTGATGTTTCTCGTGTGTAGTCATTATCGTGGATGTGTTGCAGTACAGTAATGTGAGCTACGTACTGTAAATATTAGGCCGAAGAGCTGTCATTTATAATTTATGCTTTAGGTCACAGAGAGGGGGGGAAGTCTCAAGAGAAGAGTTGTTATTTTGTAAAAAGCCTGTCAGTTACATATGAGGAATGTGAGCAGGTGAGGTCTGTCGGATCTTGACTTTCTCAAAGCGACTCCGTAAGAACTTTGTTGTATAAAGGGCCCAATCAGCTGAAACGTGAGAATCTGTTTGACGACAGATTTGGTGTAATGTGTCTCATACTGTTTTTTTTTCTTTTTCTTCTGTGTTTTTGTGAGGGAGTGTGTTGCTGTGCTTGCATGTGTAAGAAGGGCAGCGCAGGCCCAGCTTCAAGTGTGACTGATTATTATATGAGCAGAGATTATTATTACTGGGTGGTGGGAATTAATCACATCGGTGTCCTCCAACCATACTGTAACACTTTGGCAACTTGATCTTGTTGTCCTAATGCTCTCACAATATTATTCTGTCACTCTGTTGTGCGCTCAGTCACGATCGAGGAGCCATCTGTGATTGTAGCTTGTACTCGAACTGCATCTTTAGACATGCTGTAGCCTACAACTTCACAAATATTACACTAAAATTTGATGTAGAAGTAGCTGAGAGTCATTCCAACACATACTTTGAGCATGACTTCTCAAAAATCACCTTTCCAGTTAATTTATTTTTCAAGTTTTGACCAAAATGGGTACAACTCTGTCGTTTCTCAGTATAAGATGATCTGAGTGTAAAACTGACATAGAAGGAGGCAGACAAAATGCATTCGTAGAAAGAAATGCTATGCCTGTCACGGTGTGTGGAAGTTAGACCCAGGAATGCAGACTGACATGAGGAGCATGAGGAAAACACTTTATTAAACAAAAAGAAAGGGCTGGTGTGGCAGCTAAAGCTACAAATCAAAACTCGAGGATACCCGGAAGCGACCCATACATGGCATGAAGCACGCACAGAGCCAGACTGACCGTGAAGTGAAAGCTGAGGGACTTTAAGGACAGGATCTGATGAAAAGAGTAGAGACACTGTGGCAAAATGACAACTGGGAGTAAGATGAAGTGGGCAGAAGCTGAGGAATGGAAACTGACTAAGGAAGAGAGAACTGGTGACACAAGGGACACTGGGAAAAACTGAAACACAGGAAATAAATCACAAAAACGACCCCAAAAAACATAGATCCTTACAAATCCATTAGTTCAAGCCACTTATTCAGGGATCGTATACTCATAACTTCAGTTGTTCGTGGGTTACTATGAGTATGTTGTGATCAGATACCTTTACTACGTAAGTCTTTGATAGATCGTGACATCTAATGTCATAAACTCTCAGATGCTGGCTTCTCAGATCACATGGTTGGTTTTCAAATCATCTCGCAGGTCGGAGACAATATGTTTGACATAACAGTACTTCATCTAGCTAACTAACGATCACTAATGGTGTGCCACAAGGCTCAGTTTTAGGTCCCACTCTTTTTACAATTTATATAAATAATGTAGGTAAAAGCAGACAGCATGGTGGCGCAACTGGTAGAGCTGCTACCTCTCAGCAAGACGGTTGCAGATTCAAATCCCTTTCTGAGTAGAGTTTGCATGTTATTTCTGTGCACGTGTGGGTTCTCTCCGGATACTCCGGTTTCCTACCACAGACCAAAAACATGCATGTTAGGCTGATTGGTAATTCTAAATTGCCCCTAGGTATGAGTGAGAGAGTGAATGGTTGTTTGTCTCTATTTGGCCCTGTTATGGACTTGCGATCTGTCCAGGGTGTACCCCGCCCCTCACACAGTGATTGCTGGACATGGGCACTAGCGACCCCTGTGACCCAAAATGGAAGAAGTGGGTAAAAGATAATGGATGGATGGATGGATGGATGTAGGTCAAAGCATTCCTGGTGCATTTTTGCATCTCTATGCTGACGATACAGTTGTTTATTGCAGAGCTAACACAGTTGCCAAGGTTTTCGAGCTTCTACAGTCTGCATTTAACATCATCAGACTTATTCCATCACAAACTGGCACTAAATGCTGATTAAACCAAACTTATGTTGTTTTCAAACAGAAGTCAGTGCCAGCAGTTCTTCCTCCTATCTCATCCATGCATCGTGTTCCTATTGAGTTTGTAGATTCTTACAAAAACTTGGGAATTTTGGTTGAGGCACTTCTCTTTTTTAAACGTTGAAAACTTGATAAAGAAACTGAAATTAAAACTGGTTTTATTTTGTCAGAAATAGATCTTGCTTCTGAATGCCAGAAAACACCTTGTAGCTGCATTTTTTTCTACCAGCCATTGATTATGGTGATATTATTTACATGAATGCTCCTGCCAGCTACTTGCAGATGTTGGATGCTGTCTACCACAGCACACTAAGATTCATAACTGATTGTAACTACCATACTCATCATTACATTCTATATTTGTTGGTCAACTGGTCATCGTTAACTTCATGCAGGCTCTCACACTGGTACATTTTCATCTATAAATCACTCCTTGGTCTGCTATCTTCTTATATCTCCTTCCACAGTTACAGCATGTACTCTCAGGCCACCATTACCTGCATTGATTTATTGTTTTATAACACTACTTTTATTTTTAATTGTATTTTATTATAGTTTATTGTTGTCTGTACTTTATATGCTGTCTGTCTAAAACGGGTCTCTCTTGTAAATGAGTCCTTGTGACACAATGAGACTAACCTGTATAAATAAAGGTTGAATGAAAAAAATGTGTATAATAATTTTGATCCATAATGAAAAATGACTGACAGCTCTAAGAAACCTTATGTGGAAGGGGGAGTGACGTTCCTGTTAAATCCCCGTTCTGTTTCCAGCATGTCATTAAAACAGTTTCAACCCATTGAACAGCATGGCAGAAAGTTACAGATATTATACAATTGTGACTTTTAAAAACGCTTTAATTGTAATTTTTTGTGCTTCTTCAGGTTGTTGATTTTGTTGAGGTTCGCTGTGACTGAGAGTTTAAGAAAGTCACATTGTGTTTTCACGTCAACACACAACAATAAAAGTTAATTAACATTTGTACTTCCTTTCTTTTGTTCTTCTGTCCTGTCATTTTGTTTTTGCTCTAAGTGCTCTTGAGCTATTTTTGCTAGTGACACGCCAACTTTTTTTCATTCAACCTTTATTTAGACAGGTAAATCCCATTGAGCCTCGAGGACTCATTTACAAGAGAGATCTGATTATTTACAATATAAATATTGACAGTAAAAATCTACGGTGTCACCCATCTGCTGGGATGGAAAAGGTGACTGAATCTTTTGTCACAACTCCCAAATTAACTTTCACGTCGTTCATTTTCTCAAACTACTTGCTCTTCTCCTTCATCGTCATTTGATCTTTATATTTTATTCTACAACACTTCAAACCTTCACGTTTTCTCTTTGGGTTGCAGATTGTTGGCAAAAACTACAATGGCTGACAAATTCGACTGTGACCACTGCAAAGAATCCCTGTATGGTCGCAAGTACATCCAGTCAGACGACAGCCCGTACTGCATCCCCTGCTACGACAGCCTGTTTTCAAACACGTGCGATGAATGCAAAGAGCTGATTGGTCACGATTCAAGGGTAAGGCTTCCATTTTGAAATGACCGCATGCATAATAGCAGAAAATCAGAACGAACACAGATATGCAAATGAATAAAAGTTGGATCTTGTATAAAATATTATGATGTTGTTCTTTCCATTCCCATTATTGGGTTAATCCACATAAAAAATAAAAATAAAAATAAAAAATATATATATATATACCTGATTTGCTTTAGTCAATTTTTATGTCATGAGGCGACTTCAGATGACTAAAGCAGAAGTTATGTCATTAATGATGTATAATTCTTAGTAAATGAGGCGTGTTCTTTGTATTTTGTGTGCCAAGACAGAGTAAAGGCTAATTTAACTAGCAATCATGCAGGCAATTTCCTCTAAATCCACATAAGCCCACAGATTAATTGTGTCTATGATGGTAAGCATGCAGGATGACGAAACGCCTCTGTCTCTTCAGCACATTCAAATAAAAATTCAGTCTTCACTATTAGGAGTTGATCATTTTAAACTAAAATGCACTCCTCAGAGGAGTTTAGAGAGTAAATTGCTGCATTTCTTGGTATTTTTAAATACCTGATAAATAAAGCCACCAAGTTTATTGAAAAAAAAGTGTTGTGTAAATGTGCTTTGTGGCACTTGATCTGTGTATGCAGTGTCAGTTTCACCTTAACCAAACCAACACTCATCTCTGCTTCTATTGTAAATCTAAGCCTATATTTACATAGAGCCTTCCTGCCATTCTCTTCTTTCCCTCTCACGTTCAGAAATGTTTTTGAAGAAACACATCCCAGTAAACGTGACCTTGTATCCGCTGAGCTTTTACACCTGTATGAAATGACTTCCCTTATCCTTGTCCTCTCTTCTTGTTCGGCTGCCAGGAGCTCTTCTACGAGGACAGGCATTACCATGAGCATTGCTTCCGCTGTTTCCGCTGCGATCGCTCTTTGGCAGATGAGCCCTTCACCAGCCAGGACGACGCTCTGCTCTGCAACGACTGCTACTGTAATGAATTCTCCTCCAAGTGTGTAGCCTGCGACAAGGTTGTCATGCCAGGTACAAGTGGAGAAGCTGCTGCGTGATTTATTTGTGCAGCAGGCACTTCAGTGTTTACAGTTTGCACAACTCTAACATAAATGTTTAAAGGCCCATCGTTCCCTGAATGAATGTGCATCTCTGCTGCCTTTCATGCCAGTTTTAGATGAAAGTCATTTCAAATTGAGAAATGACAAACTTTTAGCCCTTTTGGTCAAGCCTTGAAGACACCACGATGAGCAGTCGCATGCGATTCTGCAAATAAATGAGTATCAGCTACTACCACAAAAAATTTTAGCTCGATATCTGTCAAATTTTGCTGAAGTTTAGCCATTTTTGTGTAGGTAAAGTGTGATCAGCTGTGAGAACCAAAGTGACAGATGTTGACAACAAAAGTTAACTAGTTGTAGATTTACGGTCAAAAATGTCAGTGAGTTTCAGTGAACACCATCCATTGGTTTATGAGATTTTTGCTAACAGACGAGCTGAGTTTACTTCAACTGTTGCTGCTTGGGTTTTAAGCCAAGTCTCACAATTTGTTGCCATTAAAATATGTGTTGGGGACATTGTTCAGCTACAAAACCCACCAAACTATAGTTCAGTATTGGTAAAACTGGTTAAGTTGTGACCATTTATGTGTTTTCTAAAGTCAGCTGTTGGTGGTAGCCATCTTGAATTAGGTTGAGTCCTGAAGTTAGTTACCATGTTTTTCGCCCTATAAGTCGCCGGGGGGGGGGGGGGGGGGGGG